GGTGAATGAATTCAATTCTTGCATTTTGACCTTTTAAAGTTTTGAATTTCATTATCTCTTTGTCTCAGCACTATAACTGATTTTTCCCCCATGAAAGTACATTAAGCTGGAAAGCATCCATTTTCACAGAAACAGCCAAAGGTGACATCTCCATCAGGGTAGCAGAGAAGAAAAAGACACTGACAAAGTTAAACGCACTCCGGGGAGAGAGAAATCGTCTGAATGGGGGCTTAGAAGGAAGAGTCGAGCTTCCAGGTCCAACCGGAGCTGCAAATCACAACCTGACTATAAATTACATCTGTCTGTTTGTCGTGCAGCGTGTGAGCGCGTGGGACGAGATTAAAACGCCACAGGCCAGACCACACATGAAGCACCAGTGGGGAGGTTGATTATCCACATCGGTGAGACACAGAGAGACAGGGCTGCTGCTGGATCCTGTTCCATTTGCCTCCTGCTAGGCAAAGCTGGAAGGACAATCTGATCCTATCAGGGACTCCTGTGCTACCACCCTAGTTTCCTCGAGGAAATGTATCAGTGTCACACAGGACTTTGCGCTGGCCTCATTCAGAGAGACGGCCATCATAAACTATACACTGTATCTGATAAAAACAAACAACTATGACTGAAGCTTCACACAGTGGCCAGATTTGAGAGAACAGAGTGTGACGTTTGATTAAGTTTAGGGTTAAATTTAAAAAGTTAAGTCTGGTTTTGACCAAAAAACATTTTTGATGCCTTTTTCTGGGTTTGAAATGATATAGTTTTGGATACCGATGTGTATTATTATACGTCTTTGTGCTCTGTGAGCATCATACATTATAAACATGTTTTTATCATTTCTTTTAATTTCTAATTTTCTTTTAGACAAAATCTCTATAAATGCTTAAATGCCATATATGATTAATACAATGAAATGCTCTAAAAAAAAGTTAAAGAAGGGCAACAGAATACCAAAAAAAATTTAAAAATTAAAACAATCCATTTAACTTGGTTTCCGAGTTTGAAGATGTTTCGCTTCACATCCAGGAAGTTTCGATTCAAAATGTCAAGAATAGCGTTGAGTTCGAGGTTTTATACAGTAGTCCAACAAAGCCTTGTTTTTGTGTTGAAAACATGCATATTGGTACAGACGAAGGGGTCCGCCCATTTGGAATGGGGGTCGTTTAATTTCTTTTGTTAAAAAGAATACCCTATAAGCCATCTAAGTGTCTTAAAGGTCATTAAAGGGGGATTGTTGGATTGGTTGAATAGATAAGGTTCTCCACTGTCATCTAACAATTTGTCTTCTTTGTCATTTGTCAATGTTCCAATTGGCATGTTTTCAACACAGAAACAAGGCTTTGTTGGGCTACTGTATAAAATCTCAACGCCATTCCTGACATTTTGAATTGAAAAAGCTTCCTGGATGGGAAGCTAAACATTTTCAAACACAGAAACCAGGTCCAGTGGATTGTTTTTAATTTTTTTTGGAATGACTATGACCCGGATGACTGAGAATCTTCACCAGCAGCAACAGATTACATTAAAATTTCAAACTTGGCCCAATGGTGAGTTGTACTATTTTTTTTAGAAGACTCTGAGGGCACCCCATGTGGACGTTGAGGGCCCCTTGATGCCCGTGGGCACCACGTTGGTAACCCCTGATCTAAACCATAATTTTGGCTGCGAGGCGTTTCAGCAGTCCATGCTTAAAACCCTTTTTTTCTCACAATATCTGCTCTGTTTAGGTGTCATTTCAAATCCTTTATTTAAAGAGCATAATGCTCATTCTAACCAAAGTCTCAATGTAACCAAAGATTTGATGTCCTGAATATTTTGACCTGCAGTGATTTTAAGACTAAGGTCACAAGTTGTCCAGAAAGTGAAACTTGGCTCTTTGACGGCATATTTAAAAATCATTGCTACCAATTTGGGATTGAAATTTGGCGGCTTTAGATTTGACCTTTATTACTTTCAGCCGTCCTCATTGCCATGTGCTGTACTTCAGGGTTAGATAGGCTGCCCTCTCTCGACCTTAGACCATCAAAGATGCAGCAGCTAGTCTTATCATTTGGCTGCTCTTTTTGATGTAAAATGTACCAAAGGCTCGACAAGGTCGACACACCAGCTGCTTTTCTTTGCTCCAATGAGGCTGAACCTTAGAGGAAATTGGGCTTTCACAGCTGCTACCTGAAAGGTATGGAACGAGTTATTAAGCAGGATTCTTCAGTTTTCTTTTAAATTCTTTTTTGAAGGTAAATTGGTTTTTCCTATCGACTATTATAACATGAGTTATTCGTTTCTCTGGGGGGAGTTTTATGTGTTGTCCAGGACTGTTTTACTCAATGCTACTTCTAAAACACACATTTTATTGATGTGCAGCACTTTGGTCAAACATTTCTTGTCTGAGCTTTTTCTTTAAAAACTCATTGGAACGAATCATTTTCATAAAACTATCGGTTTAAGAACTACTAAGATCTTCCGCTATACTGTTACCACTCATTGAGATGTTTTTTAAACAAAAGAAAAGTTTTAGATCTATAATATTTTTCCATTCTAAAAAAAACAAAAAAAACAAAGCAGCAATAATATTCTACACAAAAAGATTTTATTAAGAAACAACAAAAAACAAATCTGGACTTTGTAGCTAAAATTCTTTTTTTAAATCTACGTCTATGATAACTGCAAAATCTTCACCAGCAGGAACTACAACTGCTATTAAGTTTATGCTACTATAAATCTATTGTTTTAAAGCTGCTATCTTTATCTGCTTGACTCATTAACTATTTTCATATGCCATAAAAAGCAGACAGAAAATAAAATCTTATAGCAATAACTGTGTCAAAGTCATAGTGGTTTAGACTTGATTTCCTTTACACAGCTTAAATAGGATTATTTAAATAGCTAACGTTCAGATTCAAAAACTAGCTAAGCAAACTTTAGTGTGTAGTTCAGTTTTTCCTTCAATTCATTTAAACATTATTCTGCTGAACGGTTGGAAAGGATTTTGAAACAAGTCACATTGCTTCCTTATTTCTTTCAAATCCACCAAATTTGTATGAATTTACATCAGAAACCACCAAAAAATTAGTGAGTAACTGAGATCAACAGATTGTTGCTATGAATCTCAAAAATCAACCAACAAGACGTGTGGCAGGATATTAAGGAAGTGGTACCACACATTCAAACGGAAGTACCAATAATATATTTCGATATATGGACTAACGGATCCTGTAGTGACTGAGGTGCCTTAGCTTGCAGTTAGAGGTGGCAAATAGATAGATTTGGAATAGAAGGCTTTGTATTAATCTGTATTGTCATCCAAATATTCAGCAATAGTAATGGAATAGGTTTTCCTGATGCCCTAATCCTAGAATACAGGATTAATGACGCTCAAGGAGGAACGATAAAAACAAACTTAGAATTTTTATTTTTTAAGAAGAAAAAAATGGCACCTAACTGTAAACTAATAGCTAAAGGAAAAAATATGTTGTTTAATAAAGCAGGGACTCAGACCTTCAAATATATTCACTCTCAATCCATCCATATTCTCCAAACCATGAAGGTCTTTTTTAAGCCACAAAGCACGGAGTTAGCATAGTAAAAAAAAAAAAGCCAAGCTTTTGGAGTGTGACAACCCAGTGTCCTGAGCTAAGAGGATTTGCAGCATTCAGGGTGGAAACAGTTCAGTCTCAGGGCTGCTGTTCAGCTCCATCTTGATAGCAGGAGTCCTGAAAGACAGGCGTGTTCCCTTCACTGTCCAGATTTCTATCTCTGTAATTGCGTTCCAGGCAGGGAGGAGCACCAGTGGAGCTGACAACAGCTCTGCCAGCCAGCCACCCACTCCAACACAGGAGGCATGCTTATAAGGACAGTGTGCTAGAGACTATAGTTTACTACCTCACTTTGAGGTGAAACTAGGAATCAAAATATTTGTCAAGGTTACAGCTGCTGGGTGTGTAAAGTGAACACGGCGATAAATCTTTGTTGAAGTGTTTCACTGGTATGGTGAAAAACTGGTATGCTATCCATTCAGAAGAAGCAGGCAAGCGAAACGTAGAAAGAAAAGAAAGAAGAAAAAAAAAAGGCTATTTAGTTTTACTCTTAAAATAAGGTTAATAGATATAAAGACCTTAAAAGACTGTTCTTATTTTAAATGCAGATTTTCTTATTCCATTGGCAAAAAAGCACTTATATTAAGAAAATTTGACAGATTAGATTTTTTGCATTGTGTTAGAAAACTGTATACTTGTATACAGCCTTCATCTGCAAAGGTTTATATATTGCAGTGAAAAGCTGATCGTATTTTCCATTTGTCACATTAAAAACAACCTTCTATGTGTTTTGCTGACTTTCCAATAGAGATCAACATGATATGAAGTATAAATAGGAAGCCTTAGAAAAATTATCCAAGGATTAGAATATATATTTTACAATCAAAAAACTTGAAAAGTGCCCTGCAGATTCAACCGTAATAACTCTTTTCTTTATACAACCACATTATCCGCATCAACACTATCAAGCTTCATATCCAAACAGGAGTAACAGAAAGATATCCAATAATAATGAACCTTATTTTTTTTTACTTATTCCCTAAAACCATTAATTAATATTAACTGCATTTGATAACATGATTAAATACAAACATTTTACAATTCTAGAATCACAGAACTCATTGCAAGAGGTTGAGTTAATCATTTACTATGATTATAAGACAGATAAACCATACATTAGCAAACACTTCATTCCAGGAAGAAGGTAATGGCTTAATTCATAAAGAGGAAGCACTGCAGGAGGAGTTTCTCTGCTTGCATAATCCAAGAGAGTAAAAGCATTGCCAGATTTTTTCTAGTACTTAATGCAAGTTTGAGCTAATATAAGCATGCAAAAACACAGGGGGGTTAAATAAATGCTGTCCAAGCAGTCCAACTACAGTGTGCAAAACCTGCAAAGTTTTGCACAACAAAGCATGTAAAAAAAAATGCTATTTAGGGGAAGAAAGCAAGAAGCGCAGTACATACCAGCAACATTGACTTTCTCCGAGTTTGAGGCACTGGGGGTGGCCGTGCCGCTGGCGGTGCCGTTGGTCAGATTAGCTCCAGTACCGTTATAAATGCTGTCCACCTTTGACTCCAGCTTGCCAAGTCTCAGCATGATGTTATCCAGCAGCACTGCGAGGGTCTTCTTCAGGTCTGCAGAAAAAAAGCACACATCAGTGACATCAAACTTTCTGACATGTTAGGTCAGACGCACCGCTGTGACTCTTTCTGCTAACTAATTGTGTGGTCCGCTTAACTTGCTGCTTAAGATTTGCCCATCTTATGATTCAAGGAGTGTTTTGTATAATTTCTTTTTCCAAACAAAAATGCCTAAAGGTGGATGGTCTAGAAACAAAAAAAGATATAGATCACCAGAGATAGCCAGAAAGCTCCAGAAGCTAAATAAAAGAAAGCCTTTCTCGGCTTATTTTGTTTTTCTTCCACTAGATGCCCTTTTCTCCAATTATCTTGCAGAGAACACAGCTAACAGTAAAGCACACAGGATATTTCTGAACAGTAATGAGATGGAAAGAATATATATATATATATATATATATATATATATATATATATATATATATATATATATATATATATATATATATATATATATATATATATATAGTGGCAGAGTGGCACTGACAATACTAAAACCAGGCTTTTTCTGGCCCTATTTACACAGCCATTTTCTTTGATACTTTAACCCACAGCGATAGAGCTGACATTTAGAGGAAAATGTTAAGTCCCACAGAGCTGCTTTAACTGGCAAACAGACAATAATAGCCACTAATGCAGAACCAACTAACTACTACACCTCCCCAGAGCTCAGATTTTCATCCCCAATCCTAATTCAAGAATTTTTAATCTGGGATTTCTTTGACATCTCTCTTCTATTACATAATAGCAACGCCTTTGCTTACCGCCATGATGCAACAGAAAGGCGTTTTTCAAGTTAGAGGGATTGGAAGTGCGCCAACATAGCAGCACAACAGAGGCCTTGGTTTAACTACAAATAAAGCCTGAAAACGAAACTGAAAATCTCAATGAGTCACCAAAACATAAATAAAAAAACTAAGCATCTCTAATTCAGGAAAGTATAGTCAAAGAAAAACCCTGTGGAACTTTCTTTCCACATAGAAGGTCGCCTTATAGAAGTGTTTCAGGTGTTCCAACTTCTCAAACCACAGCCAGCTGCAGCAGATTGCTAGTCTCACAAGACCGTGATCTACTGGAGAGTTCCTGTTTCAACTATTAACACATCAATCATTAAATGATCACATCATTATCACATCAATATCAGAGATTGCTGCAACATTGACCAGCACACTGTTGCCTCATTCTCATTCTGTCGAACAGAAATGCTGCAAAATCAGTGGGTCTATAAAACTGATTCATTTTGATTTAAATTATTCATAGATCTCTGGATGAACTGAATCAGGTTTCTATAGTAAAATACCTTCAGATAACAGCTGAAGTAAAACAAAGTAAATTCAATGTCAAAAAGTGATACTCCCTCGTCTCTTGCAGCACTGCAAATATAAAACTGATTGGATGACTGCTGTTCTCTTTGTAAACTGCAGATTTTAATATTAGCCAGATCATAATGTGTGTGTGTTTTTTTTTTAAAGTAACAGCCAATTGTTTTGCAAAATTACATTTATACATATAGACAAAACTGCCTACGTTGCACAAAGAGCTTTTGGGATTCACATAATTAAATTGGGGTCATTGCAAATCAGATCAAGGCGAATGCAGGAAGCTCAGTGCATCCTGCTTCCTAATCAAGACTTTGAAATGGATTTTTAGATTATATTGGACAATGGACGGCACGCAGCTGCAGCAATGTGAAACTATCACATTAAGGGAGCAACAACAAACAGGACAGGGACGAATTCCCTGAAAAGGAAATAGGATCATAATTGGATCTCTGGATAAGGGCTGAAATGGCTTCCCCTCAAATTCTTCACTCAATTTTACTCCTAAATTAAGGTACTGAGATTCTTTAGAGCCACTAAAAAAAACAGCAAATATCCAGTTACATTTTACATGTACCTTTGAGCAGATAAAAATCAATTTAAGACTCCAGGAAAATAAATCCCAGTGAAATCCATAAGCTCCAGTTTCGCTCGATACTCCTGCATCTCCTTCAGGTTATCTGGGAGCTGATTTAATCTCCATGAACCGTACTGTAATTTGTTTCTCTGGGAATTTGAAAACGATCAATTCCAATCTCAGTTTTTTTTGATGAAGACTCTCATGGAGTCACACAGGTCTATTAATGGCATGATAAGCTATCGATGCGTCATCTAGACCTTTTCTAGCGCAGCTGCATCAGCAACATATCTTCCAGATTGGCTTTTACTGTGATGCTGGACATGTAAAACCAATAAATCCAAAACACATAAAAAAAATATCAGCTGTTTAAACACATTAACTGGTTTTGTAACACTTAACCCACTACAGTGTTCATAACGCCAACAGGGGTTTCTCAAAAACATCCTCACCAAGGAAACACCTAATAGATGTAACACGCAGTGGAGAGGCTGTGAATATATGATCAAGCTTTTCTTTTTTCTGTAACATTTGAGAACAAACAGCTCCAGCTTTCTAAACTACAGCCTGCTCCTGTTGTTGATGTTTTTCAGCAGAGCAGTTTATAGAAGCGCTAGACTAATGTTAGCATTGTTGCTCTTTGTTTTGATATGACTCATTGGTTGTTATCATGCGTGCATCATTATTACCGTGTGGTTACAGTTTTTTTTTTTCTAAGCCGTCTAATTCACAACACAATACTCAGAAGTACGGACAGGTAATGAGGCTCTAATTTTGTTAAAGTAGGAGTTGCGTGGCAAAGCTAAAAATAATTTACTGTGCTTTGCAAAAGTATTCATGCACCCAAAAAATGCAACTTTAATCTATTTCAATTATTAAAGTCAAAATTTCAAATATCAATATGAGAGATTTGTTACACACCATCATATTTGAAGGTAGTAAGTTGAGCCAAACCCTCTGAAATATCCATGAGATTACTTAGCAATATATTATATTAAAAATAACAATTTTCAGGATAATTTCGCAGCAAATGACCTTTTCGATTATACTCTACAATGTTGAAATATACCTATCGATTATGTTTTTTATTTGGATTTTATTGATTGTGTTTACTAATTAGGAGTACACTAAAATAAACTCTCCTTTTTTGTGACGGTTTCAGAGGCTAAACACAAACACATGCCACACTTTTCAGATATATATTAGGAAATTATAAAATACATGAAAGTTTAAGGGGTATGAATGATATTACAAGGCAATATTCTTAAAGAACCGATGATGTTTGAGGAAATTAATCTAATAGTCAAATAACTACACTTTCGAAGTGCTGATTTCAGGATATTAAAAAAACAGTTTTTATCCCATCGCTGTCAATTTTACTGCAGCTGACTTCTCTTTTTCCACTTGTTGAAAAGATTAGCTGGAGGGGGGCTGGGAAATATATTCTTAAATCACAGGGGGGGGGCTACCTGACTTCTGAATTCAATCATGTGAACAGTAAGTAGAGTACTCACCATAGGCTGTCATGGTTCCCACATACGGACCATCCATAACACTTTGGTTCTCCTCCGCCAGCGCTTTAATGTAGCGCTTACTTAGATCCAGGATCTGCTGCCGCAGCACTGCACTGTTCTCATGGCTGCTCCTTTGCTGGATGGTGAAATGCAGCAGCATCATTCCCCAGATGAAACCGAAGCTCACCAGGAAGAAGCCAAGCTTCTGGGATGACAGCTTCCACATGAAGGGAGGGGCCATGCTGGACAGTCTGCTGTGAGTCTTATGTGACCAAAGAGAGATTCAGGGGTCAGGGAGGAGCTTTAGGACAGCAGGGGTGGCATGGCTTCGTCGGTTAGCATAGCTGCTGCTGCTGGGAGGGTTTGCAATCCACTACAACCTGCCTGACCGGCTTGATTTTATGCCTCTGGCACATCATCGTCTCTGAGGAACATCTCTGGGGGTTTGAATCACTTCCTGCATTCTCCTGCAGAAGAAAAACACAAACCAACAGAAAAATAAGAGATGAGAGGTCTCCTCAGTTTGGTAATAAAAGGTAATGAGGTGGTTCCCCTCCTGATCCACTTTAATATGTACTATAGTGACTGAGTGGAATAAAAATAGTGTTAAAGACCCATTGCTCCTATATCAGGCCAAAATAAAATCTATTTATTTACTTAGTACTGTCTGTACTAGCTAATTAAAAAGGGTGTAAATCGCCAGTTTTATCACAAAGTATATTGTACAATAACAATCCAATATTTGCCAACAGATTTCCCAATAGATTTTCCCAATAATAGATTACATTTAATTATGAAGTCTGTGATTAAAATGATGCAATATTAGTGTGATGGTATTTAATAAAAAGTATTGATTAATATATCCATAGTTCAATTTTCTATTGATGTAATAATTACACTGTTCATCATTTAATTCATATATTGATATAGATGGATGTGTCTTTACAACCCGTTAATTAGTAAACAAAACATGTTAGGATAATAGCTCTACTACACTGCTGATAAGTATATTCCTAAATAATAAAAACACAAACAGTGTCTGTTTTATCCAGAGACTGATCTTGATGATTGACGTAGCTCAAAGGAAAAAAGGCAGGGATATAAATTACCATCCCCTCAAAAAACAAAACAAAAACAAACATCTTGATCATCTAAAATTCATCTTCCTCAGCAACAACAGGCAGCTCAAAACGAATGCAGATATGCCCCTGTCTTGAAACTGTAGAGAAATAAATTCCCATGGCCCTCCTCTTCCTCAATGGTATAAGATGCTTCATGCTAAAATCAGTGACCCGATTCTAAAAGCCATGAACCTTCATGCTTTGTCTTAACACCTCATGCGATTTCTGATTAGGGATGGGTAATTAACTGCATTAGCAACATAATCACAACATTAAAAAAAAATTATTTTCATAATGCAGAGGCTCTCGGTTTGTCACATTTAAAATGAGTAAGACACTGTCAGATTCAAGTCATAGTGCAGAGAACAAAATATGCAAATAGAAGTTTGCACTTGGTTGACTCTGATCAGGTGAGCTTTCAAGGTTATGAAAACAATGAAACCCTGGAGTGAAACATCTACATGCAAATGAGATCAAAATTTAATTTCCTAATTAATTATAATTTCGATATTTGGCAAATTCATTCAGCCCCATTTCTGATATTAATCAAAGAATCTGGGTCTTCTGCATTATAGCCTAAGATCTTCACTCAAACACTTTAAAGCAGGAAAAAAAAAAGAGAACTTCAATCCTGCCTTGCAATCGTCCAGTAAATCACTGCATTTCCCTCATATTTCTTACTTATGTTTTCTGGTCCCAGTCTTCTTTAGAAACAAGCATGAGCTCATTTTCTGTGTGCCGCCATGTTTGGTTTGTATAAATAACACCTGGAGATTATGCAGATAAACTAATCAAAGTGCAAGAGAATGTCTCTACTCTCTCCAGGATGTGGCCCACTTTGGTAAAATATCACTAAAGCTAAATTAGCAGACAAATAGCTTCTTATAAAGCCTATCTAGAGCTGATCTCTAAAGGTCGTCTTTGAGGTAACGGATGTTATCGAGTCAGCATTACCACAACAGGAAACAACTGTTTAAATTGTTTATAGGTATAATGTTCCATGTTAAGTGTGCTCTTCCTCACCCTACTCTTCTCTTTAGTTTTATTTCCATGATATAAAGAGATCTAAACTGAGGGTGGGTGACTGGAGGACCAGTCAGAGAAGAAGTCAATAGGTTCATAGTATTGAGGAGCTAAAGAGATCCACAACTCGGGTGGGAGAATCTATAGTACAAGTACTTTGGCACACCATAAATCTGGTCTTTATAGAACCAAAGCTTGGTTAAACAAATAGCCATAGGAGGTCATGTTTAGGGTTACCCCTTCATGGTGGAGATGCATCGGCCTGCCAATATTTTGGACCATTATTACACATTTTTCTTGTATCGGCATCAACTGATACGTGCATGTGTTCACCTATTCATTAGTGCTTGTAGTGGCCATGGTTTGAGATGGGCATAGATGGGCATAAATTAATTTACATAGATGTGCAAAAATGGTGGAGGCCAAAAACGTGCAGCTGGAAAGGCAGCAAAAGGTTGCTCTATGCCATGCTGAATAAAAAGGCCTTCCCTTGTAAAAATGGCTATACATTTAGATGGTAGTCCTCCATTTGAGGAGAAAGCCCTCATGGCTGTAATTAAAGCACAACATCCTGCCATCACTTCTACAGTATGAACACCGTTGGGCTGATAAGTTAGATTTAATCATCAAGCGTGAGCTTTTGATGCCAAACGCAGCCGCCCTGCAGCACGTTTGAAGCTGTTAATCAGTTCAACAAGTCATAACTGACAACCCCAGGGCAGTCAACGCAAAGCCAAATAGCTGCCTTTGGCCACGGGCTTCAAACGACACCCAAATAGAAGAACTGTTCAAGCATGCGGCGAGGCAAAAAGAGAGAGATCTTAAAAGTGCTCTCATCTGCATTCAGTCCATGTAGCTGAAAATGCAGCTAAGTGTGTGGAGGGGGATTGCTGCAGCCGTGGTTTTCAACTGCGTCTTTCTTATGCTCTATAAATTTGGCTCCAACTGGTCCAGAGCAATAATCACACTCAGACACACGAGTCCCTCGCCTTTCCATAACCTTCAAAGGATTTCTAGGGTTGGATCCTTTTAATGGATGGATTTCACTTTTTGCACCAAAGCAAAAATTATTATATTAATATAAAACATTTAGCACCTTCCGCATAACAAATTTTTCACCTTCTATCAGCTTCATAAATAGGTCAATAAAACGTTTCCAGGAGTTCTGGTGTCTTGCAACATAACCGCTGCCAGTTCTGCAGACCTTTGTGGCTGAAATTACTCCAAATATAAAAAAAAAAAAAATCAAAGGTGGCATCTGCTTTAAAGAAATGTCTAATGTGACATTATAAATGTAGCTTTATACAGCTGTTGTGCTTATAAAACTAAGCAGCTTTAATTGCTACAAAGGCTGGCTATTGTTTTAGCTTGAGAAGCTTAAACTCTACAGAGAGATTCTCAGAGACACGAATCTCTGGTCTTCTAAGATTGCCTAAATCCATCCTTACTTAACGGACAACCTCCCGCTTTCACATACAAGCTGTGCTGTGATCTCTGGAGAAAAGGAGGACACACGTAAATCCCATCTCAGTTACCTTTGTGGTCTCTGATTGAGGATCTTAATGTATTTGGCAGGAAGCCCAGTGACTAGCAACAACAAAAGCCAAGTGAAACTGCGAGGATGGCCAGCTAAGGTTGCAGAATATATGATCCTTCGCAACCCGAGATTATAACACAGCAACCCCCTGAATAGTTATTTTACTGGTTGCTAGAGGGAAGTGAACAGAAAGCTTCGCAGGCTGAAGACCTGGAAGAGACTGAAAAAAACAATAGAATTGACTGAAGCCTTGGGGATTCAGTGTGCTCTCCGGCCTGCTGCAAGGGGATTTTCTACTGCTGGGGACAAAAGAAATGAAATTAAGACTTAACTGTCGGGTTTAAAGCCACAAATAAACCTGACAGCAATTATAAAAACGAGATGAAATATGAACGCAGCAAAATACAGGAACTGCGGCAGTGCTATTTGATATCAGGAACAAAAATCAGTAAAGAACAACGGCAACAATACGTCTCTGTTTTCTACAGGATTCCTCACACAATACTCAAACATTTTCAGACTGAATGATGTTAAACAATCATACAACTACAAAATCTATCCACACTTTCCTCAGTTTTCTCATGCCTCCAACACGCCGTGACCTCTGATATCTTGCACTCTAATATGTGGTAGATGTGTCCAACAAGCTGAATTAGTAGCATGCAAAAGAGATATAAATCACACCTACAATATGCTGTATTTCTAACAGCCTTTTAAGCCATAATAAGAGCTTATGCACTGATATAACTTTAAATCCTGCAGGTCTTGGGCAGGGATTATAGAAATACAGGTGCTGGTCATAAAATTAGAATATCATGAAAAAGTAGATTGATTTCAGTAATTCCATTTAAAAAGTGAAACTTGTATATTATATTCATACATTACATACAAACTCATATATTTCAGATGTTTATTTTGTTTCATTTTGATGATTACAAATGACAACAAATGAAAATCTCAAATTCATCATATCAGAAAATTAGAATATTACTGAAGACCAATAAAAACAAAGGATTTATAGAAATGTTGGCCAACTGAAAAGTATGAACATGAAAAGTATGAGCATGTACAGCACTCAGTATTTAGTTGGGCCTCCTTTGGCCTGTATTACTGCAGCAATGCAGCGTGGCATGGAGTCGATCAGTCTGTGGCACTGCTCAGGTGTTATGATAGCCCAGGTTGCTCTAATAGTGGCTTTTAGCTCTTCTGAATTGTTGGGTCTGGTGTATTGCATCTTCTTCTTCACAATACCCCATAGATTTTCTATGGGGTTAAGGTCAGGAGAGTTTGCTGGCCAATTAAGAACAGGGATACCATGGTCCTTCAACCAGGTACTGGTAGCTTTGGCACTGTGTGCAGGTGCCAAGTCCTGTTGGAAAATGAAATCTGCATCTCCAAAAAGTTGGCCAGCTGCAGGAAGCATGAAGTGCTCTAAAACTTCCTGGTATGTGGCTGCGTTGACCCTGGACCTCAGAAAACACAATGGACCAACACCAGCAGATGACATGGCACCCCAAACCATCACTGACTGTGGAAACTTTACACTGGACTTCAAGCAAC